GGGGGGGAAAATGAGGAGCTGACACCAAGGGTTCAAGTGGAAAGCAGATGTTGTGAGAATGATGAAGTCAACATGTGTACTAATATGCTGGACACAAATGATGTATGTACAGATTGTGATGAGTTGTATGAGCCCCTAATAAAATGATTATTTAAAAAAATGTCAGCTTTTCATTGAAAATAGGCCCGTTTTCAGTTTAAAAAGAAAGAGCAACTGCCACCAAGGTGTCAGGCAAAAAGAACATGTAAGGAACTGTCATTTACACATCATATGGCAAATCAACTTGCCTTTTAAGGTATTTTGCTTTTGAAAAATATGTATTGTTACTCAGATGGTATTTAGAAAAAGAGAGGGCGAAAAGAGGAAGAAGAACTAGGTGCCACCTACTTGGTAGAAGTCATAGTTCGCTGCCTTGATGTCAAAGGGATCATCTCGAGGTGCTTGTTTCCTTCCACAGTTACAGGCGCCAGTGGATCGAGCTCGGCTATTATGATACAGCACTGGAGGATTCCTATCAGCCTCTGGTTTTTCTCCTAGAAAACATAAAAGTCATGATTAAGTTCAAAAGCACAAAGCACGAAATTTTACTTTGTATTCTGCAACATCTTACCTCCCAAATTTTCCATATAGTGCTTTGGAGATACAAAGAAAAACGCAAAAGCCGTAACTAAACATACATAATAAGAGATGCCAGTGAAGTATTAATTTACCTTTTTGACCCAATATTACAAGGCAAATTTCTCGTCTGACTACCATCCTCATGGTGATTTTATATCTGGTTAGTTCAACAAACCCTCTATAGTAAAAATGTTAATACCACATTGCTGAAACTTTGTACGAGTTAACAGTTCTCTTGTGCTAATCTACTAGAATTCATTCTTCAAATGCAAGACAGTAATTAGTAACTGTAGCTGATATTTTTCTTTTACAAAAAGTCACATTTAATGCCCTATAGAATATTCTTTTTTGTTTTGTTTTGTTTAGAATATTCTTTAAAAAATATCAGCACACAGAAAACAAATGATCTTAAAGCAAGACTAAGAACACAACTCAAAGTTTGACATCAAATGCTGAGAAAATTTTACCTACCTGATTTAGGTAATGAATGAAATTTATGTACACAGTGTTGATCAGTTAGACTCCTCTCCTCACACAGCTGATGGCCATTGCTCCAAAATGTGTAGCAGTCCTCATGTAGCTGCATAGCATATTTGTGAAAAGCCGGCCCCCTAGCATGCTGACTGTACACTCGCAGAGCTTGTGCAAGCTGATTCTTATGGACAGTCATGGTGTAATTATGAGGCAAATTTGACTGGTAGGCACTGTGGGCCATGGGTAGAGCTTTTTGGCACCGGTTTTCTGAGAATTTGGTGTCAATATCCAAAAACCCTTCTAAGACTTTAATACTGCTTAAAATCTTAGATGTTAGTTCTCCCGTGGGAGACGCCACGTCCTCCTCTTTCCCATCAATAGCCACTTCATACAGTTTGGCAGCTGCTGAAGTCCATTTCTGGTAAGTGGGAAGCTCAAAATGAGAGGGCTGTGGGTTTCTGCCCACGCTGTCGTCAAAACCTTTCTTACTCAGGACTAACTCCACATGCTGCCATAGGAATTCCCGAAGAGTGAAATCCACGAGCTGGCCTGAAGAACTACAACTGCTGCTGTCGATGTGGAAGGAAAGCTGTTGTCGGTTGTGCTGTCTCATGACCTGGTGTCGCCTGGGCCCAGAAAGAGGTGTGGGCACCAGCAACGATTCTGAATCCTTCACAGTGCAATGACTCCTTAGTTGGTCCAGCAACATGCCTACAGGGTCCTCCTCCTGGCTTCCAGGAACTATGTATACAAACGCTTGGTTGGCGGGCACAGTGAAGAGGCAGTTGATGCTCTGATTAGTCAAGACACGACTCTTCCGGAAGATTCTATAGATTTGATCCTCCAGGGCATGCTGTAGTCTCCTTTTAGGAGAATGTTTTTTGGGCTTGTCTGGGTGAGTTGGGTCTTGGCTTCGCGGGGGCTCCACTTTGAGGGCTCCGTTGAGATGAAAAAGGAAAAGGAGTCTAGGTGGGCACGGTCGGCAGTTCAGCTTCCAATCTTTGCCAACAGGACAATCTTTAATGGCTGTTTTGAGGAGGGGCAGTACTTTCTGCCTCAGCCCATCCAGGGCTCTGAATACCCGATCATAGGTAATGTCAAAGGAGCAGGTGGGGTGGACCAGAAGCAGGATGTGACAGACCGAAAAGAGATAAAGGAGACTGAGACACTGCAGCTTCTCTTGATGCTTCCAGAACTCGTGCGCTTCTGCATGAGGCAGAGAGAGGCCACCTCCAGCTTCTCCACTTTGAAGGGCCCGGCAAGCCTGCAGAAGCTGTGAATTGTCACAGATGGAGGTGAGAAGCAGATAAAGAACTTTGCTTTCCTGGTTGTAATAGGCTTGCAGGAGGCTGTAGTCCTGGGTACCTGCCTCCGTCCGGTTCCCCTCGGTCGTCGCGGTGGCTGCACCTCCCCGAGCGGCGTCACCGGTGCCGGGGTCTCCGGCTCCCCCTGCTTCCCCGACGGCGCCAGCCTCGGCCTTGACCCCAGGTTCCGGGTGCCCAGGATCTTGGTGGCGAAAGAGAGGAAAGACCTGCCGGTCACACACCGTGTTCACGAGCGAAAACTTCTCCGAAGTCAGGCGCAGCGCCGTCTTGCCGAAGATGCCCACGACGCAGATCTCATCCTCGCGCCACGGAGGCTCCGCGACGCCGGCCGCGCGCTCGCCGCCCTCCGCGGGGGCCGCCGCGGGGCTGTCCGAGCCCGGAGAGCCAGAGGCGCCCAGCAGAAACTCGCGCAGGCTGACAGGACCCGCCATGGTGCATCGCCTTCCCCAGCGTCCTTCCGGCGGTCCCCCTGCAAACGCGGCCGGCTTCCGTCCGACGTTGAAATCCTCCCGCCGGGCCCTGGAGGTCCGCTTTCCCCGCCCTTTGGGTTCCGCCTTCTCCTCCGGTCCTGCTTTGGTTTGTTTTTGTGGCAAGGTTTTCCTGGTCCTATGCAGAGCTGGTTTGGGAATCTGCGTTAAGATCTTCTTCCAGCCCTTCTTCCTGGATGAGTGGCCATGATAAAGTGTTGATGTCAGGGCCCTTGAACGTGTCCCGATAATGTTTGCTATTGCCTGTGTTTGGCCCAGAGCGATGAAGTGCCACTCGGCATCTTTTCTTCCATGGCGCTCTTGCCCTGCAGCCGTCCGTCACAGAGTTGGCAAAATGATGGTTGGGTCAAGTGTGCTGCTTGCCTCCACGTGGTCATGCCTACATGGTTCCAGTGGTT